GCCAGAATCCGCCGAAACCTCTTAGACCTGGGACTGTGGCGGGACTCCATCATGGAGCGCGTTGAGATCCTGCCCGGAAACCTGTCGCGGACCCGCTTCGGCCTCTCCCCAGAAGCCTTCGACGAGCTTGCCGCCCGCGTGCAGGTCATCGTTCATGCTGCTGCCACCGTCAACTTGGTCTACCCTTATGCGGCTCTTCGCGGGCCCAATGTCGGCGGTACGCGAGAAGTCCTCCGCTTGGCGTGCAAGGGTGGTGCGACCGTACAATATGTCTCCACCAATGGCGTGCTCCCGCCGTCCGGAGAGAAGGGCTGGTCCGAGGACGCCATGCTCCCGGTGGACGACGTCCCCGACAAGCTGTTGGATGGATACGGTCAAACCAAGTGGGTGGCCGAGCAGCTGGTTTTTGAAGCGGGTCGTCGCGGACTGCCCGTGAAGATTCACCGTGCCGGAACCATCAGCGGCCATAGCCAGACGGGTGCCGCTAATGCCTGGGATCTGTTGTCGGCCTTGTTCGTGGAGTCGATTAAGCTCGGCTACGCGCCTGAAGTGGAAGGCTGGCGAGCGGAAATGACGCCCGTGGACTTTGTCAGCAAGGCTATTGTGCATCTCGCCAGTCAAACGCACGCTGAGCAAACCGTGTTCCACCTCGGCGATCCGAACCCGGTCGATACACGGGCGGTCTTTGCCTCTCTGAATGAGCTCGGCTACCCGACCAAATCCCTGGCCTGGGATGACTGGGTATCCCTGTGGAATGAGAAGCGCAGTGCGGTCAAGGGTGGAGACGGTGGTTTCACCGTCGATATTCTCCGCAGTGGCATGCCCACGGTGGACTTCCTCCGGGGCATTGTCGTGCTGGACAATGCGGCCACCCGTCCTTTCCGGGCGGTCGTGGAACGGCCCAAGGTCGACCGGGCTCTGCTGGAGACCTACACGCGGCACTGGTTCGCTCGAGGCTGGCTGCCGCGGCCACCGCTTCGCCAGCAAGGTCTCAACGGGGCCGCGAAGCCGGCCATCAAGGGCCCGCTTAGCGGAAAGGTCGCCGTCGTAACGGGTGCCTCTTCTGGCATTGGAGCTGCAGTTGCGGCCGCTCTGGGTCGAGAGGGTTGCCATGTGGCTCTCGCCGCTCGGCGTCTCGACGCACTTGAATCACTCAAGGGCCGCATCACGGCCCACGGTGGCAAGGTCATTGCCCGGAAGACCGACGTCACGAGCAAGGAGCAGGTGGACGCCCTTTTCCAAGCGGCCAACGACGAACTTGGCCCTGTGGACATTATCGTCTCGTGTGCCGGAGTGATGTACTTTACTATGATGGCCAATGTGCAGACGGAAGAGTGGGAGCGTACGGTCGACGTCAACTGCAAGGGCCTCCTCCACTGTCTGTCGGCTAGTGTACCCGGCATGCTCTCGCGTGGCGGTGGTCACATTGTCGCGATCTCCTCCGATGCTGGACGCAAGGTATTCCCCGGCCTGGGTGTCTACTCGGCCAGTAAGTTCTTCGTTGAGGCGACGCTGCAGTCGCTCCGCTTGGAGACGGCAGGTATGGGTCTGCGTGTGACCAGTGTACAGCCTGGTAACACGGCGACGGACCTTTTGGGCATGTCCACGGATGCCGAGGCCGTCAAGAAATACGGCGAACCGTCCGGAGCCCAGATCCTTGAGCCGGACAATGTGGCGGATTCCATTATATACGCGCTGCGTCAGCCGGCCCATGTCTCTGTCAATGAAGTGCTGATCGAGCCGCGGGACGAGCCGATCTAGATGGAGTGAGGATTGATAGTTCTAAGAAGGTGCCTTTCATCAGCTCCTGTTGACGGATTTAGATTTCTGTTATTTTCCATAGACATAGACACTGTCCCCTATGGACATCGCTATAATCTGCACGAATGAAATGATTTTCCGGTATAATTTATCGACTACTTCTATGTAAGATAGAACATCTTAACCATAAGACATGTAGCAGTTGAGTATGAAAGGCTCAGTTTCGCTGGCCGCACATGGATCCATGTCAGTGGCTGAGTTGAGTCACATGGATCCATGTCAGTGGCTGAGTTGAGTAGCTGCGTGGCAGGTCCTACTTAGCTATCCACTAGGACCGGACCAAGTTCATACCCTGCTTTCTATTGCTATTCTAGGGGATGGCACGTATCTTTCTACTGGCAGCGGGGTATAATATGTTCGAACAGGCAATAAATAAGCAAACATTACTATCATCGTACTACCCTGACATTCGGCTCCCGATCTCACTACCAATCCAAGTCACACACACGCCACAAGTTTCTGAGATAAGGACACGGCAAGTTGACATCCATAGATGTCTGGTTCGTCAGATCCTGCACCAGCTCGAAGCCACTACCCTTTCGCACTACTTCGAAGTTATCTTCCACGAAATCAGCCACGTATAGGCTGGATCGTATATATAACCCGACCGGATCAAACTCGTACTGGTTGTATCAAAGGACTATGCATATGCATATCCGTCAGACATCAATGAGTGTACCTTTCTCATCGAATTGTAGCATCAGGCCAACAGTACCCTAGCTGTGCTACTTAAGAGTACACCCCTTCATCAAGCGACTCTCCTCGGAACAGGTCACTGTACATACATTTGTAACATGCCTGAGATGCACCGTGTTTACAGCATGAACAAAGCTTCCTCAAAAACACCCACTAAAAGTCCCGCGGCCGCTCATTCTCCTTCAGCTCCGGACAAAGAGAATAGATAGGATCCATCTGTTCCACATAACCACAAGCCGGCTCACTCATGGCATAACCCATGAACTCCAAAGTCTCGCGGTCATACCTGCGCGCGACATCCGCCGGCACCGCCAGGAACTGGTTCTCTTCCTGGCGCAGGTAACCTCGAACGACGAACGTAGCGAACATCAGCCGGTACTCGTCTTCGGTGATGTTTGAGCCCCCTCCATGGTATGCCGATGCTAGCATAATGAAGCCATCGCCCTTCTCCATATCGGCGAAGATGCATTGCTCGACCTTCGGAGGCGTAGTCCTATCTGTTCCCCTGCTTGGCTGTCAGACCTGACTCTAGAAATCGGTTCTTAAGAGTAAGTTCACCTACCAAAGATGGCTACGAGGGATAAACTGCGTCCCTCCATTCTCCCGCGTGACGCGACACCCAGCTACAAAGAGGCCGACGGCAGACTCGCGCTCCATGTCTCGCACATCATCCCATTGACCAATCTCAGTATGATAACGATGGTTGATGTAATCATCACGATGCAAGGGCTGCGCCTTGGCTCCAGGGCCGATTCGCATCGCTGTGCAGGAGTGCACGTACGGCTTAGAGACAGACATCTTCTTCTCGTTTCCCCACCAGTACCATCGTCTGGAGGTTAGGAAATGGTTGCATACCTGGTGAAAGAGAGGATTCATGACTTGTGTCTTGGTGTAGGTCGGGCTATGCGCGATCAAGGACGGGGCGCGTTGGGTTTGTGCTGATCGATGAGCTGTGATTGTCCGAAGCAAAAGAGCAAAGAGTCGACTCACCCGGGAAGAAGGAACCATTCCATTCTACATCTGCATCTAGACGGGGGTTGGCTTCTTGGGAGGCTTGGTCTATATCTTCTTCCGAGATGAGGCCCTTGATGAATACACCTCCGTCTCGTTTGAGTAAGTAGATGATATCATCCGATGGGGTATCCTTGGACACTATTTGGACTTCGTCGCTGTATTTGCTGGGATCAAATGGCATGTTGAGTGTGCTGAGTGGTGAATAGAGATCAGATTTAGATTTACTTTGGCAATCATCCAGCATATATAGTCATACTTGAACTTTATGTATCTATGAAGAACGTCGGAAGCGGAGTGGAACCCCGCCCGGCGGTGGGAATTACCTAATAGGGAAGTATAGCCAGCCGGCCCCGTCATGGACTCATATGGAGCAGCAATTCGCCACATCGCATTCTAGCTAGAGAAAAAGGTTGGTGGGCCGAGGATCGATTAATACGTAGTTTAAGAGAAGGAGAGACGGTGGATTTACATTAGTCGAATATGTATGATGGGTATAAACATGCTAATACAATCAGTATCCCCCAGATGCCTCCGCCATCGGCTTAAACTCCACCTCGACAGGCTCATTCCCAATCCCACGTCTCCTGGCATCCTCCAAAATCGCGACAGTAGCCGTGGCCCCAATGCGAGTAACACCCAAACTCATAACATGTAGCAGATCATCCAATGTACGAACTCCTCCCGCAGCTTTAATCTGCACCTTCTCGCCCGACTTCTCCCTCATCAACTTGAGAGCCTGCACAGTCGCACCCTTGTAATTGTATGCACCATCCGGCTGCTTCACGAATCCATATCCGGTCGATGTCTTGACAAAGGCAACTCCAATCTGGGTACAGATCTCACAGAGACGAGCAATATGCTCAGGTCGTAAGTAATCATTCTCGAAGATGACCTTCAAAACAGCTCCATTGGCAACCACAGCCTCGTTGATCTGGCGAACCTCCTCCGCCACATAGTCCCAATCCTCCCCGAGGACCTTGCCGACATTGACCACCATGTCTATCTCGGCTCCGCCAGCCTTAGCTGCCGCAGCGGCTTCAAGGACCTTGATCTCTGTGGTGCTGTTGCCGTGGGGGAATCCGATGACCGGACAGACCAGAACGTCTGATCCAGCGAGTTCTTTCCTGGCTAAGGGGATGGCGTAGGGTTTGACGCAGGCAGTTGCGACGTGATTGTCGCGGGCAATTTTGAGGCCTGCTATGATGTCGGCGTCAGTCATAGTGGGGTGAAGGAGCGAGTGGTCGATCATCTTTGCCAGCTGGGGCAGGGTCACTGTGATTTTGTGTGTCATGATGGAATGTTTTTGATGAGATTGTGTTTATTTGTTGTGGAGTATGTATGTCCGGGGACGCCTCGTTCTTATACCTGGACCCCGCAGATGTATCCGGCGGAAAGCCTTCCCAATTAGGTGATTTGTCCCACCGGAGCGATCTGAAGGGTACATCATTTACGTCGCAAACTGCTCTTTCTCAGGGTGTATAGCTACCGCCATTGTGTGGACCTGTATGCTCCCCGTAGAAAGGTGCACCTTCAATGCCCCACATCCAACTCTGCTCCAGGATCGGAAAGCCCTCCGCGGTGGGCCAAAATGACAGGCTTTCTGGGCTGCCATCGTGGCCTACCTGGGCTCGGGGGCCATAGTTTGACAGAGCTATAGACAGCATTAGAATTGATTGATAAAAGCGTTAGAGAGCAATACCTTGATCAAAGTCTTGAAGGGCAGCCGCGAGAGCAGGATCATGCATGTATTGGGCGGATCCATCTCCAGCTGGGAGATTCGGAGCAATGGAGCCTACGAGTGCCGTGGACACCCCAAAGGGATCAATGGCATTATTTCGAGCTGCTGGTCCATCAGAGGCTTGGCCCGAAATTCTCTGTCTCGATGAAGAATTCGTCATTGTCGGCTCATTTGAACGTGCAGTGGTTGCAGAAGTAGACAATTCCATCATTACACTGAGTTCTTTTTCCATGATCAATTTCACCAGGCGCTGAAGGATAGTCAATCCCTGCTGCGCTGCAACTGAGTGTGTTCGGAGCTTGTCCTGGATGCCGATCAATTTGCGGAGTCCGGACTTGGTCTCGGTAGAGTGTGGACCTAGAGGATCCATGCTGCTGAGGATACCAAGGGTCACGCCTGCTGTGAATGTATGAATGCTAACAAATGAAGCCGCATATGTTTCCGAAACCACTTCTAATAACGGGCTTGACTGAATCTCCGACATGCTGAGCGCCGCATCACGACAAGCGGTCAAAGAGGCACCAAAGGGGTCAACCGAATATGCAGCATCCCCATTATACTTGCTGGTTCGTTCTCCAGCGGCCAGCGTGTAGGAAAGAAGTGGACGGTGCGTGAGAATGCGTGCGTTCTGATACGCAAGCCACAGAGCGAGAGCTTGGAGTTGATAAATGTGATTCTCGAAGCGAGGCCCCGAGGCCCCAATATCGCGATCGACTTCTTCGGCAGAGGCGTAATGAGATTGGTGAGCGACCCGGCGCCACTGGAGTGGGAGAGGAATCTCTGCTTCCCAATGACGGAGACGACTGTCGTAGTCGGCGACCTTTCGAACGATTCTTTGGATATCCAGGGAATCTGTGCGAGATCGGCTAGCTGCATGCGAGCGAACGCGATACAGATCATCCAAGGCTCCCTTGGAGATGGTAGATAGTTTGGTTATGAAGTACTTGTAGGAAAGTAGCGTTGGACCCGACGTCAGAGGTTCATCGAATGAACCCGGAGACTGCATAGTTTGAAGTTTGGCTGATGGATCTAACGGTTCCACGTCGCAGTCGTCGTCTCGGATACTGTGTGGATACCCATATGCCACGGCAGAGAAGGTTTCAATCTCATACACTGCCCACCAGCATCTTTTGCGAGTTTCATTACGAGTTCGGAAATTAGTCGATTGAACCGAGTTCTGTCGGCGGTGTAATTGTAGAGCTTGCGCGATACGAAGCCCACATCCGCATACCGGCCATGCCAGTCGCGGAGCACCATGGTATAAATAATACGTACCGAGTAGAATGCAGGTTTGGACTGCTTCTAAAGAGCCTAAAGACATGATGTCAAGAAGCCCCGATCTCACAACAGAGAGAATGCGATCCCTAAGGGCAATTTCAACCCCATATCTCAAGAGAATCTCTCGTCGATAGGGCCCGGCGTACTGCAGCCCGATGGCAATTACAATCAGGAAGGTGCTGAGAAAGCCGAGGTGATGGTGGGAGTATGTTGAAGGCCTCTCAGTAGAGTCGCTATACAGTTTGGGCCACCGCTGACGAAACTCGTCTTGATAGAAGACCAACATGAACCAGTGCGCTCGATCGAAATATGTATCTACGAGAAGACTGGCCGCGTCAAAGCTGGGTAGTAGGGATGCCAAGTCCCCCGTAACGGGAGAGGACAGGTCGCAGGGCGCGAGTGCAGTTGAAGAGGAATGCTCATATGTGTCAAACTCAACGCTTGGTGAAGCAGATCTAGGCTCTTGCAAGGGGGCTCCCGGGAGTGCGTCCGTTGCAGGTGGCCCCGGTGCGGCCACATTGTGAAGGTTGAATGCCTAATCGAATAGTGGTTAGAGTCGCCCATAGTGCGAGTCATTACGGGAGCCTCACTCCGCCTAGAAGGGATATAGTCGAGCTTGATATCCAATCATGATCTTTTCGGTGCGATGGTGTCCCTGGCGTTGCAGTCTCGACGGGACGTTGGCCAGAACCGATGGCATGGGGTGAACTCGCATGGCGTCTCGGGACACTTGTATTTGGTGTCTGGACCGTTGGTGACGCGGCCGTATCCTGCGTATGCCGGTAGGGTCGCCAGCGGGTCGCCGAACCGGGAAGACAGCGGACCCCGGCGCGGGTGCAGAGGGTACAAGGCCGTTGGATGTCGCACTGACCAAGTGTGAGCAGATACGTCGAATGTTCCAGAGCTTACTCGTCTCTACGAACCTTTAGCTTCTGACGTCGACAGCGCTGACATGCGCTGGGGACTTTGGTGGCGGGACTGGCCCTCAAACCAGGGCTATCCTCCATGCTGGAGGGATGCAGAATACTTAGAAGATGATGAAGATTGAAGCAGCAAAGAAAAGTGGAAGAGTTGCCGCGTGGGGCAGTTTTCTCCACCGGAAGAGCCTTCCAAATGAGGCAATAACTGGGTCCGTGCACATGGCTCATCTCGGTATACTGGTGATCTGTCTATATCCCCTTTCATGAGTGTCTTAAAGGCTAGATACAAGGGACTCGATGTCACAATATATATCTTTTTGAAATGAAATGTCCTGCTGAAGCTATCATCACAACGCCCCAGCGTGGCGTGCTACCTGTCACAATGCATACCACTATTGAATCTTTCCGACATATAGAGGAACATGATCGAGTAGTTGCAGAATCCGATAGCGAGTGGAATGAATGGAACTCGTGAGCGGCTAGAAGTCTGACCCATTGTTCATTACATGGTTCAGCGCTTCGATGATGGCTCCCCGCGAGTCGTTGGGACTGTTGCTGCTATAGAACTCCAGCGCTTCTTGGTAAAGGTCCGGGTGCCCATCGTAATACCCTCGAGCATCCTCCATTATCTGCTCATATACAGTGATGTTCCATTCACGGTACGACCCTTCATCAGTGCAGTCCCACAACGTCAACATGCCGTTCTTGGTGTCCCCATGGATGTTGTATCGGGCATAGATGGCATCTCCGTATCGCTGCTCTGCAATGGCGGTGCAGTACTCGGTGGCCCATGGTTCCACCAAGTTCCAGGCAGTTCGATTGAGCACCTCCGCAACGGGCAAATCGAGGAACAGCTGCTCGGGAACGAGACTTTGTCCGCCAGCTGCTGCTGTGATTAAGATCGTTGTAATTAGAGAGAAGATTTGGTGGAATTGCATGTCAGTTGCAGTGCGAAGGGAGCGAATTAACTTGATTTGCATTCTGAGGTCGGTCTAAAGATTCAACTTTGCGACCGCGGAATTTAAGCCAAGCCAACTTTAGGCTGCCACTGGCAGTTGCCTAATCTTCTGAATTCGACTCATCGCCATAACACTTTCATCCAGCAGGTCAATGTGATCATCTAACACTCGGGTTCATTCATGGAAGAATAATTCCCAGTTCCATAAGTGAAGTGACGCGTGATATACTCTCTCGCTTTCCTGGTCCCTCGCCAAGATGGCCAGATGCGCTGAATCGGAAAGCGAATGTTTCTGATCGGTGGTCGCGCTAGTCCAGACACTCGATAGATCCCTTGGCTGGCATTTGCGACCCTGAAATTATGCTCACATACACGAGGTCCAAGAGTTGGATTAAATAGCCCGACCGTGCCCTAGACACGGCCACATACCAACGGCGAGCGGAGAAGAAACACAACATTCCTCACGCTCTACTTAATGGCTCGTGTCTTCCCATAATGGCGTGCAGAGTAGCTGTTCCCTGACATCTTCCAAAAATACACAGAATTTATCCTTATCGACCAGTCATGCGCGTGGTTGCTATTGTCACCGGGCTCGTCTCCCTTGGTGTCCTGACAGCCGCCCAGGCTGTCCGGCGCGGAGGCCCCGATGAATTCACTGCCCTCGGCTGCCCCGACACCACCAAGCCGGAGGCCTCCCAGGCCAACAGCTGGCCGCCTGGGACGACTTCACCAATCTGCTCTATACCGAGAAGCACCTCACAGACGCCTTCACGAAATATGTCGCGACCGGTTACATCAATCATTCGCCTCTGGTGACTGGGAATGGCATCGACACTACTCTGGGCGAGTTGTCCGCTATTGTCCCGAATGTGGACTCTCAGTTACAGCGTGCGTTTGTCGGATGGGATAAGGACGGCACTGCATATGGAACTGCTCATACCAAAGTCATTGGTAATGCGACCATGGGGATCCCCAATTCGGCCCTGGTGGACATGATCCGCATGGTGGGGACGTGCTTGGTGGAACATTATGACGTGCAGCAAGCCGTGGATGGCACTGCCCCGAATCCCATCGCTTTCTTCTAATGGCCTGAACTACATGCATCGCGTCGGTGAAACCATTGAGATTACGAGACCAGACTGCAATTACAAGTTTCTGTACGATTATAGTCAGGGTGACACATGTGAAAGAGAGCTATTCGGAAAGTGGGAAGAATGTCATGTATCATAGGATTTTCTCCTCCTAATATGTATTCCGACATCGTATATGCTTTGAGATGTATAGCTGCGTATAACAATTCAGGGAGGTCTAGGGTTCAACAAATGGCTGTGCTGAATGATATCAGTTCGGATATCCTATCCGAAACCCGAGCGCATTAACAACCACCTTGCTTCCCAACTTCGGTGAGCCGAGATCAGGTTGTGCTGTGCGGGGCAGCTGTGCTTATCAACCAACGTCTCTCATACAATCCGCTCTTCACATGAACACAGACAGTTAGGCAGAAGTGGAGCTTCAGGATGGGAAAGGATCTCCTATCCATCCACTCCAAATACCCCGCGCGGGGTTGTTTAGTCGCAATAAACCCTCGGCTTGTCTCATTCCCGAGCCATATATCCGTGGTTCTCTCTTTCCAGTCAGATCCCTCCTCATAACCTCAGCACTTATAACTGCCTACAGAAAAACACTATGGCAGTCGAACAGTGGGAGACAATTGTGCAGCAGAAGCAGGCGGACGCAGCCGCGAAGATTCCCCAGGCATGGCGGCTACCGGCTGAATTTACGGAGAATGTGTCCGAAACAACCCCGACCAATGTGCTCGATGTGCCTCGCAAATGTGGCTTGTTGTCTGCGAAACAATTGGAAATTACTGAAAACTATGACGCCACGGCCTTGCTCGAGCAGATTCACTCTGGAAAGTATACCGCCGTTGAAGTCGCCGAGGCGTTTTGCCTTCGAGCGGCCATCGCACAGCAAGTGGTAGGTCAAACATTTCGATAGTTGATCGTGATGATATACTTACGGTCGGATATAGACGCGCTGTCTAACAGAGACCTTTTTTGATCTTGCTTTGGAGCGAGCAAAGGAGTTGGACGAGTACTTCCAGTCCACAGGCAAGGTCCGCGGACCGCTGCATGGGTTGCCCGTTAGTCTTAAGGTAGATCAACTGTCGCCAGAACAATAACGTGTTGAAGATTGACAGTGCCAGGACTGCTTCAACGTTGCAGGTGTTCCAAGCACCATCGGCTTCACTGCCTTCATTGCACACGGTCCTGTCCAGAACAATTCTTCCGTCGTCCAGATTCTTCTGGACTTGGGCGCAGTGCTCTATGTGAAGACCAATATTCCCCAGACAATGATGGTATAACTGCCTTCATCGCTAGTCTCACCAAATACTGACAGTATTCAGGCTGCCGACTCCCACAACTACGTCTTCGGTCGCACTCTCAATCCCAACCGAACCAGCCTCAGCGCCGGCGGATCATCAGGTGGTGAAGGTGCTCTAATCGCCATGCGCGGATCAATTCTGGGCGTGGGCACCGACATTGCTGGCTCCATCCGCATCCCGGCAATTTTCGACGGGACCTTCGCCCTACGCCCATCCATCCACCGCATTCCCTACGGAGGCCAGACAGGCTCCGGCCGAAAAGGTCTCGCGGGCATCCGGCCCTGCGCCGGCCCACTAGCGACCTCAGTGCGCGACCTCGGTCTATTCATGAAACTAGTCGTGGATGCCGACCCCTGGCGATACGACTCCTCGACCATATTCAGCACCTGGCGTACCGCTCCCCCGAAAGAAACCCTCCGACTCGGCTTCATCCTCGAAGACCCCCACTTCCCCGTGCACCCTCCCATTCTCAACACCCTAACCCGCGCAGTCGACGCCCTGAAAGCCGCCGGCCACGAAGTCATCAACCTAACCACCCCTTCCCTCAAAGATGCCCTCCTTCTCGGCTTCCGAACCTTCGCTATGGACCCGGCACGAACCGCCTTCAGCCACATCACTAAGAGCGGCGAGCCACGCATCCCTGCTCTGACAATTACCGACCTACCGAGTGCTGATTTGCCATATGAATGGGCCCCACATACGCTGGAATCTCTCTATGATTTGAACGTGCAGCGGGAGACAATCTGCGAGCAGTTCCGACAGCTGATTGTCCAGAACAAGATCGACGCGATCATTATGCCGGGATATCAGGGCACCGCGGTGGCACATGATGCAGTGGGATGGGTGCCATATACTGTTTTGGCCAATGTTTTGGATGTATGGAAATTCATTCCCAGATGATCTTGACTCAGCTGACAACTACAGTATCCGGCTACGATTATTCCGTACAGAAAGGCTAACAAGGCTGATGACGCCAAGTATGTCAGGGACGTGACATACCGACCTCCGTGTAAGTTCTTCCCTATACAACCATTTAGACCGTTCTAACGCTTCGCAGATGTTGCAGACGATGTCGAAGGCGCGCCATGCTGTGTGCAGCTCATGGGCAGAACGATGCACGAGGAGGAGCTCTTGCGGGATACTGCGACCATTGCCAATGTTTTGGGGAAATAAAGTGATCAACTAGGCAAGGGCTATAGCCCACCTAGAACTTGACAATCCAAATTACATTACTTTTAATAATAACTTGTAATTGTGTACATTCTTCATTCGGTAATACTTCATCATGCTAGCTAGGTAGAATTCATAATACATATAACACATCACATCGAATCTAGTACAGGGGCAGCTTGTACGCATCAAAATCATAAACCCATGTCTTGTAGGACTCCTCATCAAACACACAGTCCATGACGGTGCCATTGTTCTTCCACAAGGGGCGTAAAGGCCACGCGCACAACTGCTGCTGCTCACCCTTCCGCTCACCTGCCAGTACGGTGGCATTCAAGCGGGTTGGGAAGACGCCTCCCTCGACCCACTGGATCAGCGTCTCGAGGGTGGTCTGCGGGAAGGGTCCATTAGGCTGCGTGGTGCTCGACGCGCAGTGCGCTGCACCAGGGATCAAATACAATCTATTCCATTCATTCAAAGCCTGGGAGCTCTCGTTGAACGACATTCCTGGGTACATGATTTGGCGAACAGACTCGTGGTAGTGCACGGACGAACCGGTCGGGATACTGGGGTCGGACTCGCCATGCACATGGATAATCTTTCCTCCGGCTGATTGGAAGGGTGTCAAGTCGGGCCAGGTGGTCTGGAGGCTGTCCTCGTAGCGCTGCCATCCGAGCTCCATCCACTCCTTCAGGGTATCGTACGTGACGTTATCCAGGCTGGAGAGGTTGTCTGCATCGCGCAGTTCCAGGAAGCGGGCCACCCACTCACCGCCGAGGGTGGTGATATCCAACTCCCACTTTCCGGTGTCGTAGTTGTACTGGGTCTGGGCGTCGTCGAAGGTGGACGAGGGTTGGTACCAGATGTAAGCGCGGCGGCCGTCCAGGGTGCGGAGCCCGTCGAGCATCTTGCTGGCTGCGGCAGCTCCGATAGCAGAAACAGTACCGTTCTGTGCGGGGGTGGTGTTGGACATCGAAGTGCGCTTCTTAAGGACTGTAGTGGTGGTAGATGCCGGGCAGGAGTAAGGGGCGCCAACGGTCGAGTTGACATTGAAGTGCAACTTGCACAGGTCAGTACGAGCCACCACGCCATCAACACGGCCATCCAGGGCATCGCAGGCCGCAATGGTCAAGTTCACGATCTTTTCCAATTCACAGGTAGGAGGGTAGTAGCCCAAAGTATGCTCAACCACGTCAGGGTAGAGGTGGTTCACTTGCTGTTGGCCGTACCGGAATGCAGGGGCACCGATAACGGCTCCATCCCACTGGTCCGCATAGCGTTGCACCTGGCTCCAACCTTCGCGGCCACCCTCTGAGCAACCTTGGTAGTAGGCGTAGATCTTGGAGTCACCCAGACTGTAGAAGTTGCGGCTGAAGGCTTTTCCAATGATTGTAAGTTCATGATGAGCGAGGTAGCCAAAAGAATACAATGCCTCGTAGTTGATGGTACCGTTGGCTTCAAGAAAAACGGCATCAAATTCGGTATCAAATCCTCCAAAACCACCATCCGTGATACCCGCAGCAGCTCCATACATCACACCACCGGGAAGGGAGCTGGTGCCGGAGTTGATGGCGTAGCCTCCACCACCCGTGGACAGCCATCGGTTTTGAAAGTCCTCGGGAGCGGGCAACCAGAGCTCCAACAGCAGGGGAGTATCCAGACCCGGCCGGGTGTATGAGAGGGTCACGTTGCAGTAGCTGTAGGAAGCGGCAGGGAAGAAGTAGCTACCCGACGTGGAAGCATTGTAGACAGCACTGGCGGTGATGGATGAAGTGTCGATCTCGAGACCTTCAATTTCATCATTGCTGGGAAGGGACGACTTTGCATGGCTAGTGGTACAGACATCCGCCAGACTGGCTGCCTGGGACAGGACAATGGTCGTGGCCCCGGCTAGGACCCCGAGAGCAGCTCTCATGATGAGTGGGGTCCTTGTATGTTACAGAGAGGAGAGAAAGTGTAGGTTGATAAGTAAGTCTTAGAAGCCCGCCTGCTAGAAAGGAAGCAGCTGAGGTGATGCGGGCGATGCCACTACTTATAATGTTCTCAATGCCTGGTTCCGTGATCATCTCAGTTATCGTTCGGAAATTATTGTCTGGAGTAGAGGCCAAGGATCCAATCATCATCACGCCAGAGGTGCACGAGAAGGCCGATCCAGACTCATTTGGGCAAGTTGAGCTGCTGATCTCGCGTTTCGTGCTATGTATTGAACCAAGCTTCGACCGGGTGATTTACACTCACAGGAGTGACGCTGTGTGTCCCGTCCCTTACACGGTATTCAGGTTACTGGCGAATAAGATGTTCGGGTTGAATTGCGGAAGCCACATTCAATATCACACAGTTTCTTCAGGTTGGCCTAGAGAGGTGCTCATAACGTTTCCTACCACCAATAAAGTTGTTCATTTCTGGATGTTACTCCACTCGGATTGATGGTCAAGCCCCAACAGCTGCATGCCTTGACATCTTGAGCCAACCGCAACCAAAGTGGATGCTACCAAGAGCGCGGCAACAACCGGCATTGCGTGTATCCCT